AACAGGAGAATGAGGACATTTCGTTCTCAGATAGCCCTGAAGATTGGCAATTGATTCTAGACCTACCAACCCCTACGAGGTGGGCGATCTTCTTATTCCTAGCCCTAACCGCGAGCGAACTTTGATTTCAAACGAAATTTGGGTCACTGTGGTTGTTCATTTATTCTAGCCCTCTGACGGGCCCTTCTCTCGCACGTCGTGAAATTACCATGTCATTCTTCATCTTGAAATGTGGACGGGAATGTTTGTACTAATTGCATGTCTCCCTGAGATTGTGAGGCCTCTGTTGTGCCGGTTTTGACGGCTATCTAAGCAGAACTTGCTCTTGGCTTAAGCTAACAATCCGCAGCGATTGATGTTGTGTTCTAGCTGAGTTTGATGTCAGTGGGACCGTTAGAGTCCGTGGATACCAACTTTTGCTTCAAGCACCGAGATGGGGAGTGTGCGATTCTGTCGTATTTAGAGGCCAAGTCCTCAGCCCTTCGAGAGGATTTCCACTTAGCCATAAACAGAGACTTGGTAGTCTCCACATCGGTGGGATCCTCGACCACAGCTGGGTGTGAGCGTTCTATTAGCACCACAAAGATTTTTCGCGCTAGTTTAACGCTTCCCTGAGTGCTTTAAGTAAGCCTAGTAAGCGGCGTAGTCAATCTCAATAGTGATGGTTTTGATGGTTGTCCCAAGTGGTCTGTTATCATACTACGACACGACTTTCTCCTTAGAAGAGCAACCACTCCCCAACAAAGTCGTTATTTGTTTTCGATCAAAAGATTCACAAAAATTCGAGACAATAAAATATTCGTTCTTGGAAAAACAACAAAAATATTGCATTGTCTTTAGTTACAATTTTAATTTTGGGAAGCTGTGTCGAAAGACACTAGACGTCGGATCCGCTGACCATAAGATAACATGATATTGTTCTTTGAACCACCACGTGAGATTGAAATAAGCCGCTTTAAGGGTCCTTGAGATGAAAAATGAACCAACCTAGCGGAAGACATACTCAATTGTTAAAAGATCAACCCTCGCAACAGCAATTTATCGCATCTGGAATGAGCGCAAGAGAAGATTGCATGGTGAAATTGAGGGAACCACTGACACGGTTGTTAAATGCACTAAGCAGCTTGTGTTAACAAATGCTTTTGGCTCACATATACGACTATACCTAACAGATACAAGTATTGGATTGGTAGATGAATAATTCTGTATGAAAGCGTATATTGGGAAAATGTACTAAAAATATTCAATTAGTAATGGAATATTTCAGTTACCAAAAAAAGACTTGGTTATTTCTTCTTACTAATCGATCTGAGATGTTTGATGTTTTTTCACACATTTTACTAAAAAACACATACTCAATTTGAAATAAAGATCAAGTTTTTTCAGTTTGATAATCCAAAAGAATACTTAAGCCGTGATTTTCAAATTCTCTTTAATAAGAAATTATTCATCAGTCTTCATGTGGACATACACCTCAACAAAATGGCATTGTTGCATGTAAAAAACACCATCTCTTACTTGTTAAATCTATTCTCATTATGATGTCTCATTAATTAGATTCCTACACTGGTGCTAGACAATAAGACTACTTTTTCTCTCATATTTCCTACCAAAGAACCATTTTCTCTTATAGTGTTATAGTTCACCTTCACCATAGGATAAATCAGTTGTACGACGAAAGGTCCGAAAGTGAGAACTCAGCATGCACCTTTGACAGTACGATATATGCATTTTATGCAAAAACTCGATCTTTATAAGTACAAACAAATCCTCGTGCTATTAAGTGTGCCTTCTTGGTTATTCTCGATCATTGAAAGGATATTTATGTCATTCTCCCACATATAATAGAGATTTAAAATCAACTAATGTCATATTTTTTTGAAAATCGGTCATTATTTAAAAATATCCCTACACCTCAACCTCCATTTACATCTATTCTTACTGCAGCGATAGAAACTCTAGAATTTCCAAGTGATAAGTCACATAGGCAGATTTGGAAAAAGAAAAGGTAAGTCTCAACTCGAAAAAGTCAAGAGGAGTCTATTATTATCACACCATCACAATCAACTTATGAGTTTGCTCCATTCACTTGTGAGCCATTAGCATCTTATCTAGCAGTATTAATCCCTTTGATGATCCTCCTATTGCACTCATAAAGGAAAAGGACATTGGCCCAAATTCCATGTTTCCCTTCATGTTTCTACTCATGGTCTGAATCTATCTTTTCATGCATTTATATCATCTTTAGATTCTGTTTCTATACCTAACGTTGTTCTAGAAGCACTTACACATTCTAGTTGACGGGCTGCTGTGGAAGATAAGCAAAAGGCTCTTCAGCAAACTAGCACTTGGACAATGGTGAAGCGTCCTATATGCCATAAGATAGTACGATGTCGTTGTGTCTTTATTGTGAAGCATAATCCTGAGGGGCTAGTCGAGCATTTGAAGGCCCTTCTTGTAGCCAAGGGTTTTATTCAAAATTATTGAATAGACTATTAAAAGACCTTCTCACCTATTTAGAAGCTTACATCAATTTAGCCATTAGTCCCTTTGGCATCTCACCAATTTTGACCTCCTCGGTAGTTAGATGTCAAAATGCTTTTCTTCATGGCAACATTAAAGAGAATGTCTATATGTAATCACCTCCCAATGCATGTTGTTTGAATAAGTCTCCTTACTGTCTTAAGCAATCTCATCATGCCTACTTTGATAAGTTCAGTAAGATTATCTACTCACATGGATTCAAGCGTAATATGGCTATCACTCACTATTTACACATCATAGTTCTCATAGTGTAGTTATTCTATTGGTGTATACGGATGATATTATTATCACAGGGAGTGACTCACAGGGCATTGACAGTGTTAAAAAACACTTGACTTCTCGGTTCAAACAAAGGATTTGGATCCTCTTCATTATTTCCTTGGGATATAAATTGCGCAATCTAAGGATGATATTTACCTCTCCCATCAGTCATGTGTTAGATTTACTTTTGAGATAGGTTTACTTGGCTATTGTCCCAATGACACCTACAAATCCAAATTTACAATTCTCAACATGCACCCCCATGTTGATGATTGGTTAGGAAAATTATTTACTTAACAATACCTCAACCTGGCATAACATATGTAGTTAGTTAAGCCAGTCAATTTATGTAGGCACTGACCACAATTCACAAGGAGGATGTTCTTCACATCTTAAAGTATCTTAAGAAGTCTCCAAGTCAAAGGCTTTTGTTTTGTCCAAGTTGCTCTCTCTTTTTAGGGATTCTCTGGTGTTAATTGGTCTCGCTTAGTAAGTGACTGTCATTCTACCACCGATTTTGAATGGTAAACTTACATCTTGGAAAAGCAAAAAACGGTTTATAGTTGCTCATTCAAGTGCTGCAAAGTATCGCTCTATTGTGCACCTAGTATCAGAGATTTTATGACTTCGATCTCTTCTATAAGATTTGGGATTTCCTGTCTCTTCAACTACTTCGCATTGCGATAATCAAGAAGCAATTCACATCATTCACATCTCTAAAAATCAAGTATTTTATGCCCTAACAGAACACATTTAGGTTGACTGTTACGTTGTACATTATGAGGATCGCGAGAAGGTGGCACTGTTTTCTCATGTTCCCTTTAGTTCTCAGCTGGCCTATATTTTTATGAAAGTATTACCGCCAAAATCATTCAACTCTTTACGCTAGACTTTGCTAATCTATATGCTCCAACTTGAGAGGGGAGTACTAGGGATGTGTTAAGAATATTCTCATCTCTCAAGTATCTCTATGATTATGGAGATACATGTTACGTATGGATGATTGACGAAACAATATGGCAATAGACAACTGATATGTAATTGATGAATTGAGGATTATCAAGAACACAATTATATTATATTGTATA